AAAAACAACTTGATTTTGAAAAATATTTTCTATTATTTGTTAAGTTATGGAAAATCTTCACTTTTTAAAAAATATTAATAAACTAAATATTAAAAATAATCATACACACATTTATTATTTTTAAATTATCTATTGTATTATTAAAATAAAAATTTAAGTACCAATTTCTTTACTACTATTAAAAAAATTATAAAATTAATTAAAAATAAAAACACTTCAAAAATTCAAATTAACTTCAGAAATTCAAATATAGGAAAATTAACATCCTCCTCCTTACTAGATAGTCATCGTGTTATTTCATCTCTTTTCGACTCGGCCTCTTAGATTTTAATAAGCTGCTCATGGTTGGCTTTCTTCAAGCTCTCGAATCATTCTGATTTCCTCCTGCAATCAACCCTGAGCTTCTCATTCTCAGCTTTGATTTCATCTAGCTCCTCATACACCTCCATTTTTTTGAAAAAAAAAACAAAACAGAAGTATAAAGGCATCCCAATAAACATTGATTTGTATGATCCAACATAATGCATCAAAGTTCCAAGAACTGAAAATATGCAAATTATTGTAGAAAACATCAGGATCATGTCCAAGTGGAGTCACAACACCCATCCCTGTCTCGACTACTCGTCTTTCCTTCATAGGAAGGTTTTTTCTTTGTTATTGTTTCCTTTGCAGGTTCTACTGCTGTAGCCATGGCTTCTCCTAAGATTTTAAACAAATTGACCACAGATTGCAAACAAATTTAATTAGTTGCTGTAGCAAAAGAATGGGAAAATCAACAATCCTTTTGCATTGACAAAACTAAGCGAAACCAAACAATTAACAGATGTTTTTTTGATCAACCAACAATTAATAGATGTGATATACACACATAACGTCAGTATGCAAAGAATCACAAAAACCAAAAAAGCCTGAAGAAACTAACAAGTGTAAAAAAATATGCTATATTCTCTATCGAAGTACCTCTCCTAACCCATGGTATTGATAATCTACAAAGAATCGCACCAGTGGAGCTCCAGACCATCTAATCCAAAATGAAACCTTGCTTAAAATCTTCCAACCCAAATTCTACCAATTGGTTGGCAAAATATATATATCAACCAATTGATGAAGACTAGAATCTACAGAACAAAGACCCATCCCTGATTTTAGTTCAAGTAAATAGGAATAGAAGAAATACCGATCTAAAAGGTTAAATTGATCCTAAATACACCCACCCAAATGAAGTAGCACTATTAACTTTGGCAATTCATCAAATGTTTTTAGGGCCTTTTAATCAATATCAATGCAAAAAAAATTAAAGTGAATCAATAACCCAAATCATGAGTCACAAACCAAGGATGAAAATTGTTGGGATAGGCCCAACATTCAAACAGGGCTGTGTGAAAAGGGCTTAGGCTACCACCCATTAGCCCAAGCTGAAGGAACATCAGTACAAGCACACCCACGTGACCCATGCCATGTGGGTCAAGGGGATGCTTACACGTGCAGATGTATGTCAGCACCAAGGGGCTATAAATACCCCCCAACTACCTCCGATGAAGGTAATTAATCTCTACGCTTCTCTTTCTACAATTACTCCTTGAGAGCTTCTCTCTCTAAAACATTGAGTATTGCTAACTTGAGCATTGGAGTGTTTTCCCCGAGGAAACAATCTCGGGATTTTCAGGTGTGGAAGCAGATAAGGACTTCAACAGTGTTGGATTGTGAAGCTGCTGAAACATTGGCGCCGTTTGTGGGAAACTCCGAACAAGAAGTTGTGTTACTTAACCTGCTGAAAGACAAAATGGTCCGTACCTTTACAGGAGGCCGTCCTCCGAGAAATGAAATGGACGAACAGGAGGACGCTCACGTATCTGAGCCCGGCCTGAATGACTTTAGACCAATGCCAAGAAACCTTTTTGTAGGGGGAGCCGAACAGGACCACCTAAGTGAGACAGATGATGAAAGAACACCGACTGGGTATGCGACCCAGCCTGAACAATTCCAAGTTCCAACAGGAACAAGACAAAGATCTGCCAGACCGTACAATTCACAGCGTGAACGACCTGAAAGGTCAACAGAACCTGCTCGGACGACCGAGCTCGAAGAGAGAACTAGAGTTCTCGAAATGGCAATGGGTAAAATCCTTGCCCGTTTAATTCCTGATGACCCCTTGATTCCCTTGCTGAACAGAGATGCGCAACCAGCTGCGGTTGTTGCTACTCGAAACTCCCCTGCTCTAAGTAACATCGTGGTGCCGACCAGGCCAAGGGGAAGTGGGAAGCTGAACAACGAGCCTAGCTCGTCCAAACACAGTGAAGAACTATTGAGGAAGAATGCAGACCTCGAAAGGCAACTAAGGGATGTACAGAAATCCATAGACGAGCTGAAAAGTCCCAGGTCACACCAGCAGACCCTTGATTTGGACAGCGCTCCTCTAAACCTATCCATCACAGCAGAACCGTATCAAGAGGGATTCAAAATTCCCCACCTGGAGACATATGATGGCATGGGTGACCCTGATGAACATCTGCACACCTATCAAGCCATCATGAGAATCCAAAACGCCAATGATGCCATGATGTGCAAAGTGTTCCCAGCAACACTAAAATCAACAGCCAGGAGATGGTATCACAAACTCCCCAGACATTCAATAGATTCATTTTCCCAGCTCACCAAGTTGTTTTCTAACAAATTTGCGAGCCAGAGGGAGATCAAGCGTACAGCAACCGAGTTGATGCAAGTTAACCAGAAGGAAGGGGAGTCTTTGAGGGATTACATGCAGCGGTTCAACAAAGCCACCTTGGACATTGATAATGTACCGGACACGATTTGCCTGTTCGCCCTGTTGCATGGGTTGAAGCGTGGCCGATTCCTAGACGACCTGCTTGAAAACCCACCGAAGACGTGGAACGAGGTGAATGATAGGTCAGCCAGCTTCATACTGTCAGAGGACTTTCAGTCGTCCAAGCGACGAGCTGATGATAAGCCGAGCAAAGGCCAGGAACAACAACCGAGAAGAGAAGAGAAGAAGAAACAGAAGGTCGGTGAGCAATGGGGGAAACCAGCTGAGTTCCCGAAGTATGCCAGTTACATTCCTTTGACCTTACCTAGGTCTCAAATCCTAGCACAAATTCAGCACTGGGTTAGGAGACCTCCACCCCCACTACATGATTCTTCGAGGGCAGACAAGAGCAAGCATTGTGACTATCACCGTGTATATGGTCACAATACAGAGGATTGCCAACACTTGAAGGACGAGTTAGAATTTTTGGCTCGTAACGGGAGGCTAGAAGGGTACGTTCAGAAGCCTCACGCCCAGCAACCCACTCAAACCCATTTTGTACAGGCGTACGATCGACCTCAAGGGCTGAGGTACCAACATGGTGGGACGCAGGATGCATATCGGGATAACCAGTATCCTTCTGAACAGGGCAGAGCATACCGAGGACGTCCCTTCAACCGGAGAGGACAGGGACCAAGAACTACCGCCCCGAATCAAAAAGACAGAAAAGGGGTAGGTTATGCTGGGATACCCCCACCTTCTGGTACCATAAACATGATATCGGGTGGTGTTCACTCAGGGGGCCAAAGCGCCCGAGCTCGCAAGGCATATGCTCGACAGGTGATGACGGTCAACAAAAACAGACCCCTGAAGTGGCCGTTTGAAGAAGTAGAATGGGAAAATGCGCCTATCACCTTCAGCCTGGCAGATTACCAGCGAGCAGAGGGAGAGCCTGACATTATGATGCCCCATGCAGATCCCTTTGTGGCAACGGTTCATATAGGCAATCATAATGTCAATAAAGTGTTCATTGACACTGGCAGTTCACCTGATATCCTACATTGGAGTTGCTTCCAAAAGATGCAGCTAAATCCGAGCTTGCTGCAGAAGCACGAAGGCTCGATATATGGATTCGATAACCAGCCTGTCCCAGTTGAGGGAATTATTACCCTTCCTATATATGTGGGCTCAGAACCGCGCTTCAGAATGGCTTCTATCACCTTCATGGTTGTTAAGATGGAATCAGCTTTCAATGCTATATTAGGAAGAGCCACCCTGTGCGAGCTGAAAGCTGTTATCTCACAGCCCCATCTCTGTATGAAATTCCCAACTCCTCAGGGGGTAGGAGTGCTGAAAGGGAATCAGAGGATGGCTAGAGCCTATTACCAAGACACGTTCAAGAAGGTCGAGCTCGCCACAGCCCCAGTGAGCGCTGAGGGTCGCAAGCCAACCCAGCTCGGTCAACAAGCAATGAGCATATCAGACATTAAGCATCGACCTGAGAGCGTCGAGCAGAAGGCAGAGCCAGTAGAGCCAGTGGAAACGGTACCTTTAAACTTGGATGTGCCGGAGAGAAC